CTCAATATCTTGTTTCGTTCGAAAGATATCGAGGGTCCCAGGTTTTGACTTCCACCCCCCCTAGCGCCCCCCCAAAATTTTTTGGGGGTCTGAAAATTTGGGGAAAGAAGCGCTCCAGTATTAGTAACTGATAGACGAAGTTTGAATAAGTTTTAGTGGGGGGGCGAAAAATGTCGTTTTTGCATACGGCTCTTTAGTTGATGCGAATCGTCTGCCGTCTCCTTATGCCTATTGCAGTAAATTGGCAACATTGTCCTGGATTTTCCTCCCATGCTGATTCTCGTACGCAGCTAAGATAAAACTTTTTAAATCACAACGCTGATTGCGCAGAGAATCTGGACGCGCCATGAAGACTGGGATTTCATTGAGCCTTTTTGCTGATCATATTTTCATTGCTTCTTTCAGTGTTTTTCAAAGCAGTGCGAGAACACGGAAGTAATACTTTTTTTCTTTCCTCTCTTCCTGTACTCTACTTATCTCTACTGGCCGGAAAAATTGTGTGTCCTTCCAGAAACATCGCATCTAGTACATAAACAGTAAAAGCTGCCCTGTCTACATTGAATTAGGACTTGTGTGAGAGTTACGGGAGGCAACTCAATTAAGAGAATAGCATAAAACAAAAACTCCGCACAATTGGGTTTTTGGAAACTGGCATACTTTTCCAATCGCGTTAGCTGTACAATGAGTGGAAACCGCTGATCCAGTAAACACAACGCGAAATTGACCTTGTCCATGCTACCTCAATGCCGGGTTTTCCAGATCAGCAAAAGGAAGATGGAAAACTGGGAGCTTGGACGAATCTATGTATAGTTGTTGAAGTACCGAAATATACGTCTCCGTGAGCATTCTCAGAAGATGCAGAAAACTGGACTGAAGAATATGAAATTCGTCTCGGCAGCGGTAATAACGACAGCAGCAGCATTAAGAAAGGGACTGAAGAGATTGAATTGGATCATCTACAAGATGCGCAAGGAGTTTACCCGATCGCACAACGCGTTTGTCGGAATGCGTGCTGCAACGAAGCAGCAGCTTAGATGGAACAGGAACGCGTACCAAGGCGTTTCGTGGGTGCAGCCCGCGAATCCTCACCAAGGGGAACAAGAGAGTTCCAATTAGCAAAAGAAGGGGAACAAAAAGATAGACTGGTTGCGCATGAGGGGAGCAGCAGCTAACTCGCAAAATTTTCGACGGACTTGGGAGTTGAAGGGACTGGCATAACTATACTCGCCAAAAATGAGGATAAGAGCCACGTCAATGCCGCAAAATCTCCAAGGGAGCTCATTCAGATATTTGAGGACTACATTGCAAAATTTCTGGTTTTAAACACTGGAGAATCAGACTCGTCAAACACGTTCTTTTCCTGTTTGTGACAAACCTGTGATAGTCGCGCAGTCACGTTTTCTTGCAATCAGCATTTACTGTCCTTGCAAAATATGAAGCTCGTCATATTTTGCAACACTCACTCTTATTCTGACTTTCATCACGTAACGTCAAATAACTTGTCTATTGTGCTTTACCGTTCATACATTTTTCATTCGATTTCTGTACTTATATTTATTTTTTGTGCGTCAAATGAATATTTTTTAAAGAGTCTTTCGTACAGACACGAACCAAAACTCGCGCCTAACGGCCGGCGCAAGACTTTACATCGTCATTGAGCTGTTTGTAACTTTACGCTTCCATATACGTTCATACCGACAAAATTTCTGACCAAGGCTCGTAATTCGCAATTTCCCTTCAGATATGATGTGTCCCTTGCCAAAATTTTGGAATTTTGGATTTAGACCCTTAAGGCCCTTGGTGGCACGGGTTAAACTTTTTTTTAAATTTTTTCCTCTTGGGAGGTTCATTTAGAGATTACATAGAAACTTTTCAGATGTAGACCAACTTGAATTTCGAGAAACTCAAAAAAAAGATACACCATAATCTCCCCCCTCTCTCCCCAAAAAGCTACACGTATTTCATGAACGATATGGTATATTATTGTCATTTTGGTGATGTCACCAGACGTCACCTAAAGTTACATTCCCGCACTAATATATTCCTTGTGCAAATGTAAATGGCACCAAGAGCAAAGTAAGAGAGGTTATGTTATCATACCACGCGGATCTATTAGAAATTAAGGATATTTTGATAATAAAATGAAATTATGCATTTAAAGAGACGTCACAAGAATTACACCAGTGCAATACAAGTGCAGTACAATAAGTGTGCCACTCGATTTTCCAGCCGACAAACATGCTTCTAGCAAGTAATAATACATGAATCCAATTATACTGAGCTACGCCTTGTTTGTTAAGATTCACTGTACAGATGTAAACCAAAAAAGCAGGATAAATGGTACCTACTGGACACAACAGAGGCGAGAAGCAGAGCGTCACCAGAATTACTTGAAACATGGTTACACGTCCTCCAACTCACCTAGCAAGAGTCTACTTAAAGGCATGCACTAATGATCGTCATTTTATCAAAATTGAGGATAGAACAAAGTTAAAATATCGTCTCCGAAGAGTCTCATGTGATGGTGAATGCATTTTGTCCAATTGGCAAGTTAGAAAAGAACCCCGGTTCTTCGGTTACATTATTAACTTTTACCATGAAAAAAATTAGCCTGAAACCAGCTAAGAGTAGGGTTGCCAGAAAATTTAGAAAATATAATTCCCTGACATTTCTCTGATTTCACTGACACATTTGAGTAAAATTCACTGAAAATTGAGGATATGCCATGTGACCAAAACGACAAAATTTGAAATAGCTTCCAGGCAATATTTGTTGTTCTAGACATCAAATCCATTCTAGAAAGCGAATAAAGGTAAATTAACAATTTTTCCCTGACACTTTTGAGGTTTTTCCTGACATTTCCAGGTTTTCCCTGACTTTTAAAAATTCCCTAACATTTCCCGTTTTCCCGGTATTCCCTGACTATGGCAACCCTACAAGAGTCTGACGAATTTTTCCCAGCTTCCTGGCGTCGCATAGAGAGAGGAAACAAAAAGCAAGTTGCTGAAAAACAAATATTGACAAAATGACACAAGATTACACAGATTCTCCCATAAAATAAAATCGGCCCATAAACTAATTATGAGGAATACACCAAGATTTTGCTTTCAAATTATAAATCCAATTTTAGGATGTTAATAAACATGCACACCTTAACAGTTAATTTGTTGAGGGAACTTACGTGATGGGTTTTTTGGCTCAAAATAATCTCCTTGGGAAATCTGTCTAACGAGCCTTTTAAAATTAGAACCGTCAAATGGCATAGCTTTGTAGACTAAAATGTACAACAAAACACCCAGTGACCTACGGAACAAAAGAAGATCAAGAATCAGGACAAAATCGAGGTAAAAGGTTTGAAAATTAATCCGAAGATATTTTTCAAGAGACCAGGAGTAATTAGAGGCCGTTCATAAATGAAACTTTCCTAAAATGATGATCTGAACACCAAGACAAGAAAAAGCAAACCTTACTAGACAGAATGAACGCCAGGATTCTCTAATGCTTAGAAATATAGTGATGAAAATAGAAAATCAAACCAAAAGTGTACCTAAGGATTTCAAACCCCTGTTACTCAAATTAAAAAGAGACAAACTTAAAAAAGGGTTCACTTGACTTTTTTCCACTGAAAACGTGAGGAAGCTTGCCTTCTGCTTCTCAAATTTGGCCTTCATCTTAGACTTGGAGCACTCCCTTTGACCAGGGGGGCTTTTACGATTTCATATACGAAATTTACGACCAAATTGACAAAGGGATTGATACGCCTCACTTGCCTTATCACATAAAACTTTAAAAAATGCACCCACATGCTTTTCGAATTTGTCGAAATTGCCATCTTTAATTGGAGGCACCCCCTTTGACTGGGGGACCAAGGAGCTTTTTTAGCTTCGTATATCAACTCTACGACCAAAATTACATAGGAAATGGTTCCTCACAAGACACTATTTGAACATTTTAAGATACCGAAATCCCAGACGCTTCTATTATGACCTCCATTTTTAATTTTAGGCATTAAGAGGGGTGATCTGGAGCCAGACGGAGGTACACTTTTGGTGTGTTTTTCAGGAGTACCTACGGATGACGTTTTATACAGGTAAAGTCAGTTACGCAATTGGTTCCAAGTCTAACCATATTTTTCCTTATCCATTTCAATATCCTGCTTTTGGAGGTGTATACTTTCTTTGAGAATGTGCAAAAAATTGGGACCTTTTTTAAGACTAGGGAGGTTCTGATGGCTTTTGCATCCTTAGCACTTGTCCATAGTTCATATATACCCTTTTCTGACTCCTTTTGGTAAGAAATGAACTTTGTATAGCAAAACTTTGTAAGGCCTCAGAAATCCTGAGGACCAAAACAAAAATACTACGATAAGTTTTTACAGTTTAATTGGATTTTTATTGTTTTCAATGATATTTTTCTACAGCGAAATTTTACCCTCTACAACTGAGGTTATTGGGTATTTTCCACATGAACGCAAGATTTCAGCGAAAATTAGACATTTCGTACGAAATCCAGATCTAGACCAAAAGAAAGAATCAAAATATGATAAAAAAAATGGCACTATTTAAAATGGATTAAAGGGGTGTACGCAAAATCGGCAAAATTTCTCCCCTCATGGCTTTTGACAAATTTTCAATACGTCATTCCTCATTGTAGGATACGACTTTTCCCAAAATTTCAAGGCCTGAAATGAATTTCTTTCCGCAAAGCAGCGTTGCCAAGTTGAAAACCGTTGAGTTCCATATCTGTTGAACAAAAAAAGATATTGAGGAGCAATTTGAGCTAAAATTCTACAAAAATTGCGTTCTTTTGAAATATGAATGCAGTCAATTTGATTGTTTCGGTAATTTAAGATTGCAATGGTGCCATTTTTCACACTTTCTTAGGGGCCCATATTTTTTCAACCCTATTGCATCGTCAAATGTTGGATTCTCGATTCAAACTAAAAGCTGTTCCTTCTATTTGTCGTACTTTTCCGTGCATTTTGATATATTTTACCTCCCAGGGAAACGATTAGTACGCGAGATATGAGCTATCAAAGTTTACGTTTTACGAGCGCCGTCTGGAATCTGGGCGCTCAGAGTCGTTTAAACACCGACCCTTCCTTGTCACCGACAAGCGTTAAAAGGACATTCTCATGTACTTTTTTGCGTAATTTTCATTTCTGGCCTTTAAAAAGGCCTCTGATGAATTTCTAGGGGCTTTGCGGTCCATTGTTGCCATTATTCACCCATATTTACAGTTTTTTCAATTTTACTCACTTAAAACTTAATTTAAACTGAAAACTGTATACGATTTGGGAGAAGATGTAAAAAAATTAATAATAGTACAAGTGTGAATTTTTCCTACGTTGCCAAGTTTTTGAGATAATCGTTCCAAAGAGCCAAAAATAGGATTAATTACTACGTCGAAGGTTTTAGGAAGTGAATGATTACTCTCATGTGGAAAATGGGAATTTTAAGTTTTGTTTAACGACAAATAACATATGTACCATGCAAAATTACGATAGGCCTCACTTTCGTGATAATTAATCCAATTTTTCACACTTTAGGAAGATTTTTCTCGAAAATTTGGCAACATAAGAAAAAATACAAAGAACATTATCAATGTAATTTTTTACATTATTCCCAAAAATGTACCCAGCTTTTAGGTTAAATTGAGTTTGACACAAGTAAAATTGAAAAACCTTGTAAAAACTAGCCAAAAATGGTGACAATGGTCCCTAAGGCCCCTCATAATTAATCGGAAGGCATTTATATGCCCAAAAATGAAACGTACAGAAAAAAATACAAATGGTGCACACGAAAGGAGTTTCACTAAAGGTTGAATGACATCCAAAAGGGCTACTTTAAATATAAAAAGGCTGCAAAATGTGACACCTCGGTCAGTTTTCACATAGTGGGAGTCCAGGTACAACTAAACTTTTTTTATCTGTTGCATGTATGGGTAAGAGCTGTTACAAGCGTCAATATGAAAGTTGTGCCCCATTTTCTTGAACCTTTTAAGCATGGCGATATATAAAATTGTTGCCATTTTTGGCTCTTTGGAATGATTTTCTCAAAAACTTGGCAACGTAGGAAAAATTTACACTTGTACTTTTATTCATTTTTTTACATCCCCTCCAAAGTAGTACACAGTTTTTAGTTTAAATTAAGTTTTAAGTGAGTAAAATTGAAAAAACCGTAAAAATGGGTGAATAATGGCAACAATGGACCGCAGAGCCCCTAGAAATTCATCGGAGGCCTTTGTAAAGGCCAGAAATGAAAATTACACAAAAAATACATGAGAATGTCCTTTTAACGCTTGTTGGTGACAAGGGAGGGTGTGTGTAGACGACTCTGAGCGCCCAGATTCCAGTCAGCACGCGTGTAATGTAAACTTTGATGGCTCAGATCTTTTCTGTCTATCTTTGATATCTGACCAATCGTTTCCCTGGGAGGTATAATATATCAAAATGTACGACAAATAGGAGGAACAGCTTTTAGTTTGAATCGAGAATCTAACATTTGCCGATGTAATAGGGTTGAAAAAATATGGGCCCCTAGGAAAGTGTGAAAAATGGCACCATTGCAATCTTAAATTACCGAAACAATCAAATTAACTGCATACACATTTCAAAAGAACGCAATTTTTGTAGAATTTTAACGCAAACCGCATCTTAATATCTTTTTTTGTTCGAAAGATATGGAACTCAATGGTTTTTGACCCGGCAATGCTGCTCCGCAGAAAGAAATTCATTTCAGGCCTTGAAATTTTGGGAAAAGGCGTATCCTATAATGAGGAATGAGATATTAAAAATTTTTCAAAATCCATGAGGGGGGAAATTTTGCCGATTTTGCATACACCCCTTTACCAAAGTTTTGACAAAAATGTTTTTTCGCTGAGTGACATCAATTGCTGCCTGGGAGCCCTAACATTTCAATCTTCCATTTCGTTTTGACACACCCTGAGGCCCCCTTCACCCCTTTTACTGCATCTTAGCCTCCAGAAAAATTAAAAAAAAGCCGTTCACTTACCAACAATCTACCTTGGGCCCATGATATGGGATGCCTTTGACAATTTCAGGCGAAGCGTACAGAGGGCTACCACAGAATGTTGTTAACAGACGAGATTCGGAAAATACATTTGAGAGCCCAAAATCAGCAATCTAGAGGCAGTAAGACAAAAAAAAGTGCTTTTCATCTATGATAGTATTCCACACAAAAAAATCCACATAAAAATGAAATTAAGTTTCTCAATCTTTTAAAACAGGTAAAGGGCCATATTACTGAACAGATTTCCGCCAAGATTTTTGTGGCTGGCCCGAAACCTTTGATTGTCCACGTGACGTCCGTTGCCTCTTTTCTAGGTTGCATGATTTCTGTTACCAGTGAAGTGAGCAGCTAGAGGAGCTGCGAGTAAATTCAAAGAGATAGTTTCTGCTTTATTACTGTAGCTCTTTTAATTATTTTAATCTTCTCTCTTCTTCCTCAAAAAAAAAAAAAAAAAAAAAAGAAAAATCCAACATGAATATGTTGGAAAAGCGTGCCAAATAACTGAAATGTTGGACAAATACCTACTATTTTCACGTCTTCGCTATTTGTATAAATTGGTACTTTTTGCTACATTTGAGAGAAAATATTGATTCATGAACGTTGAATGTAAATTAATTTTAAAGATTCGGTCCAATTATCTTGATTTTAAGCTGATATGTGGCATTTACGCACGACCGCGATTTGGGCGAACTACCGAGCATCGAAATCACATTAAGTTAATATCTTTGGATTTTGAACTGTAACTTCTCTCCTGTTCGCCCGATTTTTACAAATGAGGTCTCTTTTTATTTTTATTTTGACGGAGAGTAAAGAAAACACTTAGTCCAGGCATTATAGGAAAAATAGAAAAAAAAATTTATGTATAAGGTTTTATGTGCCCAAGTTGTTCATTGGGGTGTCAGGGACTCCCAGCAAAAAGTCCCCAAGAATCCCCTGTACGCTCGACCCCCCGCCCCCCAAAACCCCCAAAAAATCGACCTTTCCTCGGTTTTTCGTAAATATCTCTATAAGAATTGGTTTTAGCGAAAAATGAGTTATTTAGTGAATGAAAGTTCATAAAATTTCCAATAAAAATGATTTCTATGAATTTTTTTGTAAAACGACTTGGAACCCCTCAAAATGGCCGCCGAAAAAACGGGCATTTACGGAAATTTCAGTTTTCTCCCGAAAATGCCCATTTTTCTTTGAAACGGCTACTTTTACGTAAAAGTTAATGGCGGATTCTAAAAGAGCGTTGAATTTCACATCAGAAATGATTAACATCGATCATTTCAGACTCACGGTCGATCAACGGAAATATGATATATCGAAACTCTTCCACCCGGGCCGAACAAATCAAGTGCTGGTTAGTTACTCATTTAAGTTTACGGTTCTGCTGGAGCAAGGAAGCGTTCAATTATCACGTAATGCATCTGAAGAGGGAGGAGAGTCGGGATTCTTCCATCCAGAAAACACAAATTGTGCATTGAGAGTTGGAGGGGGGGGGGGG